CCTCCTTGACACATATCCAAACAATTATAAACTCAGTGGCTAAGTAAGTAAAACTTTATTTATATAGCTCCCTTCTCAACACGAATGAACAAAGTGCTTTACAGTACAGTACACAGGACACAATTCAAAGTACAACTATAACATGTAGAATAAAAGGCATAAAACGGCAGCAGGTAATACATAGGATAAAACACCAATGAAAGACAGCTACTAACTCACCTCCTCCGACGACCCAAAGGCCTGTCGGAAGAGGTGGGTCTTTAACTGCCCCTTAAAAATCTCTATTGAGGCAGAGGTTTTTATTATCTGGGGGAGTTTGTTCCAAAGCCTTGGGGCCACCACCTCTAAGTATATGATATGTTGCATTTCCTGTGAAGCAGCTTTAGTTGACTGCTGGTTTTAACTAGCAGTAATACGACATACTCAGTTTTTAAAAGCCCCCTGATACAAAGTAAAAAATGGTTGACTCCAAATTACTGCTGATTTTAATTTCTGATGTAATGTTTAATACAGCAGCTGCGAGGATCATCAAGCGATGAAGACAGTGTTGAAAACTCTGGAGGAATTATCCCAGGACATCGCTGTAAACCAAGAGGACGAGCTCGTACTCACACAGGTTTGTTTGTAAACCCAGATTGTTTAAAATGTGTGAGGGGAACCGCCTCATGACTTATTGGAATTGAAAATTAACATTTGTATAATGTAAAAAAACAACATTTAAGCATATATTGCATGCAATCTAAGTCATGCCTCCACTCTCTGTCTCAGGTCCCTCACTCCAAATGGGAGAAGGAAGACTCTGAGGAATATCAGCTAGGACAAGGAGCAATTAAGGTTCAAAATGATGCTCCTGCAATTTATCTGCCTTCGCCCTCAGTGTCTGTCACAGCAGAGACATCGGAGGAAATTGATAGAGGAACGGAGAAAGATCAAACCCCCATTTTGTGGAGTTCACAGAGAAGTGTGGCTCCCTCTAGTGGCAAAGACAGAACTGACAGAGACGAGGAGAAAAGAATGGGGAGACGGAGGGACAGAGAGAGCGACAAATCAAGGGATAGGAAGAAAGAAAGAAAAATATCAAAAGAGAGGAGAAGGGAGGGGGAGAAAGAAAGAGACAGGGAGAGAGAGAGGAGTCATAAGAGTAATCCCCCTTCCTCCTCTTATTCAACGTCACATGACATGGAGCGGAGAGACAAACTCAGCAAGAGAGCTCCTGAACTGCCTGATCAAAATGTCCACAAGACGTTTATAGACACATTACTGGACTCATCATTTAAAGAGCATCCAGACTTCTACAACAATCACCCAGAAAAGGGAGGAAGAGAGCTGGAGGAAATGGAGAGGCCCAGCAGCAACAGCACCAGCTCATCCGCAAGCCAGGAGAACGGCAGGGACGATGCGAGGAGAGAGAAGAAGAAACAAAAGAAGCACAAAAAGGAGAAAAGAGAAGCCAACCTAGAGCTGTGTGAAGAAGAAGAGCTGAGGAAACAGAAGAAAAAGAGTTCAAAGCAAAGCAGAGATGGAGAGGAAGAGGAGATTAGCGGAGACGTGGACGAAACTATGCTTATGCTGTCTTTTCTGTCATAAAAGAAAAATATAACTTACTTGAATTATGTTTTTCCTTTCTCTGTGCAAAAAGTGCCTCGTTTAGTTTTTTCAAATATTTTTTCCCAGGATACATTTAGTAGCGCCTTAAGATAATATCAAACGTGCAGCATCCAAAACAAAAGTGAACAAACTGTGAAGGAAAAGCACTTTACGAGAAAAAATGTATGTAAATGAAAGCAAATGTTTAACTTTTCATTTATTTAAAGGAATTTGCACATACGCTCAACTTGCTCAGGACTGCCACCAACAATGGTTTATTAACTAAACCTGCAATGTTAAAGCTTTATTTGAGGAAATCTTACTTTTGGAATACAGGCCAGTCAGTAATATGATTTGCCTCAGGAGTGCATGTGAAGGATATATTAAAAAAAAAAACGTATTAATGGAATCATACTGTGAATATTTATGATTTGAACCTCTGTGATGTATTTTATTTTGTAAATGTTTAATTTAAAATCAACTGCTGGATGGATGAATAATTAACCAGAGGATATTTGAGTTTTTCCCGTTTTGAAGGAAATAAAAAAAAAGTAACATCCATAAATTGTTGTGTTTTTCTGCCGCTGCACCCATTAGTAAGTAAAAGTAATATTATCGGTTCACTAAAACAAAAGAAACTATTTATTTTAAGAGACTTTTATTTTGCAACACATTTTCAATTAATTAGGCAAAAAACTTTTTTATATATGCTTGTGGTATGGTATGGTATTCAAGTGCTAGCATGTTAACTTAACTTAGTTTTTATTTTGCGACCATGACACAATAACAAACATTACAAAATAAAGAAGTTGTATTGGAATAAAACCCAACAAACATTTTTATTTTTAGAGTGTTTAAGGGTTTTAAAGTGTAAACAAATGTAAAAATGTAGAAGATGCTAATGTTAGCATGCCAGTATGATGGCACCTGGTTTTGTCAGTTTCATTTAATTAAAGAACAAACAGCCACAATAACAAACATTTTAAAAAAATCAGGGTGTATATGCAGACAAACTGAGCACAAAAAAAAGTGTAAACAAATCTAAAAATGTAGAAGAAGCTAACATCTTAGCATGCTAGCAAGGCATGGGGCCTTTTAATGACAAGCACAAAGGTTTCCCCCATGTATTTAATTATAGTGGATTCAGGTATACTGGTACCGCAAAAGACAACTGTATTACTTGTATTACTTGCTGTATTGCCCTCTGCTGATGGAAAAATCTTGCAGCACCTACAAGCTATCGTTTTCCTTTACTTCTTTCCTGGCAAAGCAACTAGGGAATAGCTGTGGAAGCACATGACTAAAGTGTGTATATTTTGGACGGATTCACAAAACTGTATACTGTGGTGACCACCTATTAATACACTGGGACATCATTCATACATGGAACTACAGTTGGGGCTACTGTTCCCACACGGACATGTTATGTGTTTACTATATATGTTGTGTGCCCTCCTGACTTCACTCTCTCTTCTTCCCGGACTGCAACCGGACAACATGTCCTTTTCTACTCTTAAATAAAGTACCCTTTTACACCATCATTGCACCGCCTCTGACTCCCTATCTCTCGGCACTACATTGGTGACCCTGACACGTCTCGAGAAGTTTCCGGGACGGACCCGAACACGGCAGAGGAAACTCAGGTTTCTTTCTCGAAATGCCGGGGATTTTTGGAATCGTCCGTGGCTGCCACCGGCACGCGGACTGAGGCTCGGTGCGCGCCTCGCAGAATGGCTGGGGATGTTGCTCGCCATTCCCGCATCGGTCTTCCAACCACCAGGGAGACAAAGCACGACCTGCTGGGTAGTGATGAACCCGATTGCTACGTGGGTTGGTTTCTTCGGGGCGTGCAGCTGCACGTCCCGGCTGCGCTAGCTAACGGCTGCGGCTAGCGGCTACCGGCGGCTGCCAGCTAGCGACTAACAGCTAGCTGCTAACGGCTATCGACCTTTTTTTCTGGTGCCTGAGAGGAGGTTCGACCATGTCTGGTCGGCCTCGTGTGGACCCTCTCACAAT